GGCACATTGGTCAATTTAACAATGCACATTGGCCAATTTAGAAAAGCTCATTGGACAATTTCAAAATACACATTGGCCAATTTAAAAGAGCACTATGGCCAATTTAAGAATGCATATTGGCCAATTTAAGAATGCATATTGGCCAATTTAAGAATGCATATGGCCAATTTAAGAATGCATATTGGCCAATTTAAGAATGCATATTGGCCAATATAACGAAGGACATTGGACAATTTCAAAATACACATTGGCCAATTTAAGAATGCACATTGGCCAATTTAAGAAGGCACATTGGTGAATTTAGGAAGGCTCATTGGTCAATTTAACAATGCACATCGGCCAATTTAGGAAGGCTCGTTGGTCAATTTAACAATGTACATTGGCCAATTTAGGAAGGCTCATTGGTCAATTTAACAATGCACATTGGCCAATTTAAGAAGGCTCATTGCAATTTAACAATGCACATTGGCCAATTTAGGAAGGCACATTGGCCAATTTAGGAAGGCACATTGGCCAATTTAAGAAGGCACATTGGTCAATTTTTAACAATGCACATTGGCCAATTTAACAATGCACATTGGACAATTTAAAAGAGCACTATGGCCAATTTAAGAATGCACATTGGCCAATTTAAGAATGCACATTGGCCATTTTAAGAATGCACATCGGCCAAATTTAAGAATGCACATTAGTAAATTTAAGAAAGCATGTTAGCCAATTTAAGAGGGCTCTTTTGTCAATTTAAGAATGTACATGAACAATTTAAGAAGGCTTATTGGCCAATTTAAGAAGGCTCATGTGCCAATTTAAGAATGCACGTTGGCCAATTTAATAAGGCTTATTGGTTAATTTAACAATACATTTTGACCAATTTAAGAATGCACATTGGTCAATTTAAGAATGCACATTGGCCAATTTGAAAGAGCACTATGGCCAATTTAAGAATGTACATTGGCCAATTTAAGAATGCATATTTGCCAATTTAAGAATGCACATTTGCCAATTTAAGAATGCACATTTGCCAATTTAAGAATGCACATTTGCCAATTTAAGAAGGCTCATTGGCCAATTTAAAAAGGCTCATTGGCCAGTTTAAGAGAACCATGCGCATGTGCGAGCAACTGACAGTGTAGGAGTGTCAAGGGCTCTCGAAAAGTGTGCCAAATTATACAGTTTTATGCAACAGAGACGCACAACAAGAGGTAATCAAGGCCATTAATGAACTGGGTACCTGTAAACCTTAAACAAATTCCAATAGAACAATGATGAGACGAACCAGAAGTGGTGGAAAAAATCGTGGCTGTAAATCTACACCGACAAAAGGATCCATTGCTAATTTTATGCAAATTAATGCATTGACAGAAAACCAAGAATGCGATACACCTGATGAAGACACACAATCTGGCAATGTTGACCAATCTGATCATGCGCAGGAAGCTGACACGTATTCAATCAATGAACACGACGAGGACGACGTCTTAGAAATGCACGATTTCCAACGCTTCGTAAAAAACGCTTTAATGCGTTTAGAGAAAAAAGCCATAGACAAGATTTGTAAGGAACATTCAGTTATCCTTGAAAAATTGCAAGTTACGGAACTCAGACAGAAGACGCT